GTCCTTTTGGGCAGTCGGGGGATTCGAGAGGAAAATTATTTTCCAAAAAATAACTACAATCCTAATATGGATTGTACAAGAAAATTAATTTTCTTATACGAACTTTCAAGCTAAATAGATACATAGAAGTTTCACTTTTTATCTATTCCTCGTTTAGGAACATGTTTTTTTAGTAACTTTTTGAATTTTTGACTAAAATATGATATAAAAAAAATTAGTATGTTTGGAATGTCTTTTTGATTTTTTTACGAAAAGATATAAAAAAAGTAGAGATAAAATAGAATCTTTGATTTTTTGATATAGATTGTTGACTTTTTTTATTTTATTAATGACTTTTTAACTTTTTGATTAAAAAAGTCATTTGCCAAACGAAACCTATTCTAAACGAACTAAACTCCAGAGTTTTTGAGAGGGAACTTTATTCAACAGCTTTTTCTTTGATTTTTGTCATTTTTTTTTAATCCCAATTTTGAGCTTATTTTTTTTCACTTTTTAGGCACATTCCCCATCTCTTCTCTTTCTCTCCTCTTTCTCATCCCCTCTCTTCTTCTCTATTCTCTTTCTCTCCCTCTGTTTCAGTTTCAGCTTCAGCCTGAATAAGGAGAAAAAAAAAAAAAGAAAAAAAAACTGCCCAAAACAATGTCCTTTTGGGCAATCGGGGGATTCGGGAGGAAAATTATTTTCCAAAAAATAACTACAATCCTAATATGGATTGTACAAGAAAATTAATTTTCTTATACGAACTTTCAAGCTAAACAGATACATAGAAGTTTCACTTTTTATCTATTCCTCGTTTGGGAACATGTTTTTTAGTAACTTTTTGAATTTTTGACTAAAATATGATATAAAAAAAATTAGTATGTTTGGAATGTCTTTTTGATTTTTTTACGAAAAGATATGAAAAAAATAGAGATAAAATAGAATCTTTAATTTTTTGATATAGATTGTTGACTTTTTTGATTTTATTAATGACTTTTTAACTTTTTGATTAAAAAAGTCACTTGCCAAACGAAACATATTCTAAACAAACTAAACTCCAGAGTTTTTGAGAGGGAACTTTATTCAACAGCTTTTTCTTTGATTTTTGTCATTTTTGTCATTTTTTTTTTATCCCAATTTTGAGCTTATTTTTTTTCACTTTTTAGGCGCATTCTATTAGAACCCCTCAAAAAAAGTCATAGAATTGAAGAAGTATGATAAAAATCAAATCAATTTTGATTTTTCAAAATCTGTTTTCCAGTGGACTATTTCCAAGTCAAATTGTTTTAATTTTAAGAGTTTGGGATGTTTTGGAAAGTAAATTAAAAATTAATTTTTTGACTTTTTAAAAAAATGTATAAAAAAATAAAAAGTGGGTATAATTCAAAAAAATCAAAAAATAAAAAAAAAATTAACTTTTAACCTAATTGTCAAAATGGGCTTTTGTTGTCAAAAACGTACCTCAGCTCAAAATTGCCAAAAAAAAAAAAAAAAAATGTTGCCAAATGAGGCCTTAAGAAGCTTTGGTCAGGCTGATCCTCTGGTACGTCATCTGACCCTGTCCAAACGTACGACCAGTAGAAGTCTAATGCTCTAAACTAAACAAACGGTCCAGATTCATGCTCATACATTAGCTGGGATCCAGGAACGCATCAACCTTCTTGACTTTTGCATCTCGGCTGTCTATATTCTTCTTCTCCTGCCTAATGCTTTATGCCAACATTTACGTAAACTAGACGGCTCAGACACACCGATCAATCTCAAATTAAAAAATAATAATAATAATAATATAATACACCAATTCAATCCACGTGATGATTTCGACCACGGCTGAGAAAAAAAATTAAGCCTTCCTTTGGTATGTCAAAAAATTTAATTTTTTATTATTATTTTAATTATAAAAAGATAAAATAAATTAAAAAATTAATAAAATTAAATGTTACTTTCAAAGTACAATCATTTTATTTTTTCTTTAATAAAAGTAAAAAAAATCAAAAAATTTATTCCAAACGAAATTTTTAACCCCAAGTTAAAATAGTCAAAAAAATAAAAAAGTCAAAAAATTAAAAAACTAAAAAATCAGTCTACATCCCAAAAGAACCCTAAAAAGATTACAAAGTGATCTAAACCAAATCATTTTTGTTAATTTGTTTTTTTATTTTTTTTAACTAAAGTTTGGTCGTCTTCTTTAAATTGGTCTGGTTTGTGATTGTATACTTAGTTTTTATTTTATTTTAAAATCAAATCCAACACTTAGATATATACGTATGTAATTTGTTAATTATCATAAACACAACTATCTTATTTGTATTTTATATATATATATATATGTCTGTGTGTGTACGCGTTAGAATAATTTCATCATTTAATCTTGTTGACTAAGTTTGTGTTCCTTTAAATGTCGTCACTTTATCACCTGAAAACACAAACGTGAGCTAGTCGGTGGGTATGTGTCGGAAACCTCTCCGATACCTAAGTTAGCAAAATAGATAATAGACACAAAAGTTCTGTGTATTTGAGAGGAAGAATTGTCATACATGTCTATAGGTTCTGTCATAGGTTTTTATAGATTTTACATAGTACAGTCCTAGCAAGTACAGTCCTAGCAAGACTCTAACTCTCTTTAGCAGAGTCCTCCCAAGAGTCTCATACCCAAGGATAATGTTTATCCTTAAAACACCATTCTCATTGCAAGTCAAGTGAAATGATACAAGTGTTTGCTCGACTTTCTGCCGTCCAACTGGACTACCTCTACTCTGTCCGCCAATGGCTTAGTCGTGTAACACGCATCACCGTCAAAGCTAATATTGCATGGCTTTCCTCCTAGCCTGGCACCCTTCCTAGCTCGGCCCTTCTCTCTGTTCGACTACCTTGCTTGGTAACTCGGCCATAGCGTTGACCGCCACTAAGAAGTAGTCAGGTCCCCGTGGCTAGGTTCCATAGCTAGGCCTCATGGCTCGGTCCCGTAGTTAGGCCTCGCAACTAGGTCCCATAGCTAGGTCTTGTAACTAAATCTCATAGTTAGGTCCTGTAACTCAGTCTCATAGCTCTGTCCCGTAGCTAGGACCCGTAGCTCGGTTCCATAGCTAGGCCTCGTAACTAGGTCCCATAGCTCGGTCCCGTAGCTAAAACCTGTAGCTCGGTCTCATAGTTAGGTCATGTAGCTAGGGCCTGTTGCTATGTCCTGTAGCTAGGTCTCGTAGTTAAATCCCATAGCTAGGTCCTATAATTAGGTCCCGTAACTAGGTCAAAAAATATGGGCATTTACTAGTTCAGTCAAACATTTTTTACTGCTACTTCAACCTAACTTGATTCAATTTGGTTACACAAATTACCCTCTCAATATATATAAAAGTTATATTTCTCTACTTTTATAAGTATGTTATTGTATAGTGATAGAATTAATAGTAAACATTCATCTAAACAAAATTTTAAATTGTGAACAACATCTGTGATCATATTGTGAATGGTAAGATTTTTAAAAAGAATAAAGCTATGTGTAATAATTGATATACTAATTAGTATACTAACGGATGATGTGTCATAATTTTAGAGATTTTGTGTCTTGTAGTTTGTATAATTGGTGGGGTCTTTAGTTTTGAAGTGACAATGTTATAATATATGTTGGTACACTAATTAGTATACCAATTGATGCATTTAGCACAATTCTTTTAAAAATTATGATTTTGGATTGTTTTGGAAAGTAGCTTAAAAGCTAATTTTTAAAACTTTTTTAAACTTTTTTTTTTAAAAAAAAAATGTAAAAAAATAGAGATATAATATAATTCAAAAGAGGTTAAAAGCTAAAAAATTACTTTTAACTTTTTTCCCAAACGAGACCTTTAATTCCACACTTCAATGGTTTAGTCTAATTGATTTCAAGATTTTTATGATTTAATTTGATTCTATATTTCAAGAAATTATAAGCAATGAATTGATTCTGATTTACTTTTAAATCTAATCAATCCAAACCATGCCTAGATTGAACATCCTGATACCAATCCTCAAATCATGTTCAGCGATGGCTGTTATTTGACCATACTTTGATAACTTATTAGCAAACCAAACAAAAGAAATTGATAATTTTTCTCATTATTTCTAGAATGTATTATAAATTTTTCCGCCAGAAATATATAACATTTTAAAGCTTTTGAGGTTTGACTCAATGGTCTAATAATTATACCTTTGGATGTGGTGAGGAGAAGGTCACAGATTCGAGCAAATAGACTAGCAACAAACCTCTTCAATTGTAATATAACTATATTAACATGCTAATACTATATTTATTTAATATATATATATATATATATGTTACATTTAAAAATTTATCAAAATTTAGATAAACAAGTCCAAAATAATTGTATATTTTTTAATAAAAGTACACATCACAAAAAATTCTACAATTATTTTAAAATTTATTAATTAATACAATTAATTTCAATTTTTTTGGCTAATTAATATTAGCCTGTTTAGAAATTTGGCTATTTTAATTGATTTTTTTAGTTATTTTAGTCTAGTTAAAAAATTGTGGTTGAAAAGATAATTAATTTTTTTAATAACTAATTTGATTATTAAGAGAGAAAAAAATAAAATAATTATAATTTAAATATGACATTTTATTTTATTAATTATTTTAATTTAATTTATATTTATCAAATTTTAATTAAAAAATTAAAAAATAACAGGGCCATTATTAGTAAACATGACCAAAAAAAAAAAGAAAAAAAAGAAAAAAGAAAAAAGTATATACATAAAAAATATTAAAAAATTTAAATATATAAATGAAACTGGCATTATCTATAGTAGTCCAGTGCTGTGGCCTTGGGAAAATGATGATGATGGGCGTGACAGCATCATCTCATCATTAGTTCTTCCCTCGAAGTAGGGCCCATCTCTCCCAGGCAAAATGCAATTTTTCGAAGGCCATGAAGTTCTGAAAACGACGCCGTTCTATCTCTCTCTCACCCGCTAATCAAACTTTGCGATTGATGATCTTGACAAATCGTCAAAAAATTCTAGTATAAATACAGCCTCGCTCTCTCATGGTTTCTCATTCGTCAACGTTTGCGCAATTAGCTCTGAGAGAGAGAGAGAGAGAGCGCTGAGATTGTGTGCGCCACAGAACACGAACGAAGTAAAGACCTCTCATATCAATGGCCACCAAAGTCTATATTGTGTAAGAACCTCATCAAATCTCTCTCTCTTTCTCTTTCTTGATTCCTGCATTTTTGTTCATGATTTGTGAATCGCTCTTGTTTTGCATTTGATTTTTATTAATTAATTGCTTTTTTTAATCTGTAAATCTGTGTGTGGTTTTGTGTTTAGGTTCTTTATCTGTTGTTCAATTTTTTTTTTCTTTTTAATTTTTTTTTTAAATTCTGAATTATTAGTGTTCAGTGATGTTCATTGTTTCTGTAATTTTGTTCTTACTGTTAGAATTGATTATCTGAGTGATCAAGGGCAAAGTTTAACTGTGGAGTATTAATTTCTTGATTGGAGATCGTTTACTGGTACCAGTGATTAGCCAGTTGGTTAAAAAAGAAAGAAAAGCGTAATTAATTACTCGAAGTTTCTTGAAGTTTGAGTTCTTTGTTTGAATGCTTATAATGATCCTGAATTAATGCTTTAACAAAATGGCGCATACAATCTGTGTCTTTCCATATATAGATGAATCATGTATGATTGGGCTTATATTTAGGTGTTTGCTGATATGGATCTGTCATTTCCACTAGAAGGGTCATTTTCTATGCATTTTTTATTCTTAAATACTGGAATTTTGTCTCTTTGGACTTGTGATTAGAAAGCTTGGATATTGCAATTTCTTTGGTAAAAAGATCCCCTTATCAATGGCAACAAAACCAGAGAAAAATTAATTAACCAAATTTTGGAAACTACTTTTCACCATGTAGTTTGAAAATTGGTCATGTGTTGTAGCTGATAAAGGGTTATGTTGCAATTGAAGCACTTTAAAAGCTTGCTTCAGGCAGATTCTGAAGACACATAAATTAGGATAACAATTTTAATTTATCATCAAGACATTAGATAATGAAATGGGTTTGGATACAAGACAAGGAAGACTTTTGCATTTCTTTACAAGATATCCTTACATTTGAAGTATCCCCACAGGAAGCTCCCACAAGCAAACTGTAGAATAGATTTGGATGGTGATGGATGATAAACGATTATGGCATTGTGGGCCTATTCATGGGTTTTGTTACAGTGTGCAGGGTGTCCTGAGTTGTCTGTGTTGTGCTGCCACACTTGGGTTTGTTTGTTGGGGTCATTCTCTTCTCAGTTTTAGAGTGGAAACATCCATCACCATCCAAGGTGTCTTTGCACCCTGCTGATGTTTGCCACACTTGGGTTATGGGCCTGCATCTCTGCACTTCTTATTTAGTTACACGAAGGTGTCATGCACTTTTGATCATTACACTTTGCATGCAAACCAATGTTATTTTAGGGCAAATTACATATACACCCCTCGAGGTTTGGCTAAATTACAGATGCCCCCTGAGGTTTGAGAAATTACGAATTCCTCCCTGAATGCTATATTTGCATAAGAAATTAGGGGGTAATTTGTTATGAAATATAAACCTCAGGGGGCAAATTGTTATGAAAATACAAACCTCAGGGGGCGGGATGTAATTTCCGAAACCTCAGGGGGATATCTGTAATTTACCCAAACCTCGAGGGGTGTATATGTAATTTGCCCTTATTTATATCATCCTTGCAATGCTTGGTAGCGCCTATGGTGTTTTGAAATATTTGCTGCTGTAATGATGTGGGCTCCCATTATCTGAAGATGAAGATGTCAATCTGTAGTTACCTTGTTTGGGTTGCCCTGTGTTTCATAGGGCTATAGTTGCTGAGTAAGTGTATCAGTACAAGATAAGGCTCCTTAGTATATGGTGACTTGATTACCCATTTATCCAGATTTACTGGTCATGCAATTGATATTAACATATCATATCGTATCATATATCAATCTAGAATATCTTTCCCGTTTCTCAAAGTATAATCAGAGTGCTAGCTGCCCATATAAAATATGTTTAAAAATAAAAAATAAAAAAAATTAACAGAGCCACTTTCACAGACAAGTATGAAAAGTTGTGTTTGTCTTTCATTTGCATTTGATACAGAATGGTAATTGCTGGTAAGAGCTAGAGTATTTCTGTTTTCTAACGTTCACTATCCTATTATAGGTACTATTCTATGTATGGACACGTAGAGAAACTAGCAGAACAGATAAAGAAAGGGGCTGCCACTGTTGAAGGTGTTGAAGCAAAACTATGGCAGGTAGATCATGCTAATTCTTCCCTTTTCCTCTTTAACTGATTATTTTAACAAAAGGAAGTGAAAAGTGTGCAATGCTTGTTGAAGAAAGTGAAATATGTACTTAGCAATAATCTTAATCAATTTGATTTTGTTATATTTGACAAATCATTGCTCTTTTTGAAGTTTACATAAAACACCATTTTATCCCACTAAGTTGTTTAAAAATACAGGTTTTTTTTTTTTTTTTGGTTGAGGCCACGTATCCTTCAATTAGAAGTTTGATGGGTCCAACCCTTGGATATGCACCCGTACCTGATACTTGTACCCAAGTATAATGTAACATAGGTAGGCATGAACATAATGCAATCTGACGGTGAACTTTTAGAAAGTAGGTGGAGATGATATGGCTTCTTATGCAAAATGGAAGAAAAGTTTTCTAATGACTTTCAATGTTTTGGTTAATTTTACAAAATCGGGATTATGGCATGCCTTTCAAAGAAAGATGCTGAGCTGCAATGTGTTGTGATAATTATTCTAAAATGAAGACATTACCCTAGAATTGTTGATCGGTGGGTTTTTTTTACTGCCTAGTGATTTGATGCCATCATTAATGTCATCAGTAATGCTTTTCACATGTGTTTTGGGGTGTGCATTCTGTTTGCTATAACACGGATGATCAAATTCTAAGTTTTCAGTTTCTTACTAGTTATAATCAGTTCCTAAGATTTCATATTTCCTTTTGCTATTTCCATGACTCCATCTGCATCTCTCAGCTGGCCAAGTGTCCTATTAGAACCTTCTCTTCATATCATGGTGATCCTTGTCAATAATGCTGTCATTGTTCATCCCTCTCATTGGTGCTAGCATTGTTGTTTGAAACAGTGATGTCATAGTTGATTTTTCAAAAATCTCAATTGGTATCTCTCTTATTTAATCTCCCGCAGCTACGCTTGCAGCTTTTTATCTTTTCTCCTTTGTTCCTGCATCTCTTAAATTCATTTTTAGCCGACCCTGTCTATCCTGTAGTAGTCATGGCTCATCATGTTAATTTTTCCTGATTAATATTCTTTCAGAGTCTCTATTCTAACCCAACTAGAGATTGTTTTTAAAGTAAAAAAAGTATCCCAGTTTATTCCTCATTTGGGTGGGGTCTGGCTGGGGGTAAATTGGGTATAGATTTAGCTATCCATTGGTATGATATGCACAAAGTGGTTGCCTCAGTATTGATATGCACAAAGTGGGCTCAGTTGTAACAACTGAACCAGTGGCCCCCTGTTTCTAATCTGACTTGAGTTGCTGCTGAGCTTAATTTTGATTTAAGCAATTGTTTAAGAATGCTTCTCGAAATTCCAATATCTGTGCCTATATATAGATGGGCAATGTTGAGAGCTTTTTCTATTTTTTTGTCAAGTATTTCGAGTTGGAAATGGTTTGTTCTGTAAAACTTTATTTTTGTTTAAATGTTATGATGTTTGGTGGGTGAGAAAAGTAGAGAAGCGAAGGGAATTTGTTTTTAAAATTTTGTTTTTTCTTGTTTAATTGACTCGGTAGGGGAGAAGAAAAGAAAAGAAATAGGAAAGAAATTTTATAAATTTTTTTTTCCCACCTCTCAAAAGTTTCTCCATTACCAAACAAAAGATATTTTGGAGGGAAATTTTCAATTTGTAGTACAACAGATAATGCACAAGTTTCGATGGATCTCTGTTGCAAACAACAGGAACAAAACTCACTCTCTCTTTTCTTTTCTTCCTAACCAAGCATTTTATTTTCCATTCCCTTCTGTTAAATTTTATCTTCTGTTGAATGAGCAAAACAAGCATAGAGACGCAAATCAAAACTGAGAAAGCAGTAAAGCAAACTGAACAAACAAAGGCTGAGCTCCTGCAAATGTGGAAAGATTGGAAACTACTGCAGTTCTAACTGTCTCTAGATGAATAACTCCAAGGAATCCAAACAGTAATAGCCACTGGGCAAAAAGAAATCGGCCACTTTTTTCCCTTGCCTTCAGGAAGAAAACTATACCTGTTTCCCAATTTTTTTCCATTGTTGTTTCTTTTTTCTGTGTGCCTTGCGTGATAATGACTTCTACTTTAGCATGAGGCATGAATGCTAATGCTCTAGGCTTTCATAAACATAAGGCATTTTCATGTGAACAGGTTCCCGAGACACTACACGATGACGTTCTCAGCAAAATGAGTGCTCCACCAAAGAGTGATGTCCCAATCATTACACCTGGTGAACTTGCAGAAGCTGATGGGTTTATTTTTGGCTTCCCCACAAGATTTGGGATGATGGCTGCTCAATTCAAGGCATTTCTCGATGCTACTGGGGGTCTATGGAGAACACAGCAGCTTGCAGGCAAACCCGCTGGAATCTTCTATAGCACCGGATCCCAAGGCGGTGGACAGGAAACTACTGCGTAAGTTCCTGTTTGGTAGTTTTCTAATACATATAGCATGTAAATTTGAAATCCAAAAAATAAAAATAGCTAAAATGGTTTTTCTTAGGTTGACCGCCATTACCCAGCTGGTTCACCACGGAATGATCTTTGTGCCCATTGGGTACACGTTCGGAGCTGGCATGTTTGAGATGGAAACAGTGAAAGGTGGAAGCCCTTATGGTGCGGGGACATATGCCGGTGATGGCTCAAGACAGCCAACAGAGCTCGAGTTGGAGCAGGCTTTCCACCAAGGGAAGTACATTGCTACCATAACAAAGAAGCTCAAGGGATCTGCTTGATTTCTATTCAAAACAACAATACTGTTTGGCATTTTTACATATATTTTTTTTCCACTTCTAGCATTTCAATGTTCTATTTCTTTGTGCTTGCAGAAGATTATTGTTTGCCTTATTGGATATAAGCGATTTATGTGTTTACTCATTATAGTGGTTTTTATCAATGATAAAAGTGTGTTTATTGTTTCTTGTGATTGGCTGACAATCTGGTTGCCACTCTCTTCTTTCTTTTCCTTCTCATGTTACGGAAAGAAAAAATATTTTGTATTAAAATATTAAAATGGAAAAAGAAACAGAATTTGAATGGGTAAGTTGATGTTTAATATGGCAATTGGTACAGTTTTGAGTGCTAACTCTACCGCTTCTATATGTTTTAATCTCTTATGTTATGTTTGAATTTTAAATTTGTTGAAGCAAATGAAATTACTTCTATGTATTCATTTTGTAATACGTATCCAGATAAAATAAAATAAAATAAAACAAAACGTAGTAAAAAATAAAGAACTTTTTGGACTATTTTACACGGAAAAGCAGAAGACTTGAGTCAAAATACCCCCTGCAGAACTTTTTCTTCTTACCTCAGTCGAGAAGATGCCGATGTTTCCGTTCAGCACGTCCATTTTGTTGAGACGTGCCGGGGCAGGATCGATGAGGTTGAGTACCATGACTCTGAAGGAAGGAAAGAAAGTCAAAATCTTTATATTCCATGGCATTGTCAGAACGAAAAAGTTTAATAGTTTTAGAAAATTGTGTTTTAACCATGGCAGCAAAATTGTAATAAAGTTGTTTGAGTTCAGATCGAGTTTTCATAAGAAATAACCATGTAAAACGAGAAAAATCATCTACAAAAATAACAAAATAGCGGGCTCCGCCCATAGTGGGAGTAGGAGAGGGGCCCCAAATATCAGAATGAATGAGATCAAATGGTGCAAGAGAAACAGAGTCACTTTTATTAAACGACAAGGCAGGTTGTTTAGCAAGTTGACAGGACACACAATCTAAAGCATCAGCACTTACAGGACCTAAATGACCACGAGAAATTAAAGATTTTAAACGACTAACAGAAAGATGGCCTAAACGACAGTGCCAAAGCTGAAAAGAAGATAAAGGGGGAGCAGGGGTAGCAGTGGTAGGAGCGGTGATCTGAGAGGAATCCGGAACATGAAGATGGATAAGTTCGTAGAGACGTCCATGCTTACGGCCGATCCCAAGAGTTTGCCCCGTCCGAGGGTCCTGCACCAAACAACCAGTAGGGGAAAAGGTAACAGTTAGACCATGCTCACATAATTGACTAATGGATATAAGATTTAAAGTGAGAGCGGGCATAAGATAGACATGAGATAAAGATAAGTGAGAGGTGGAAACAGAACCAACATGACTTACAGATAGAAGAGACCCATCAGCAGTATGGATAGAAGGAACAGGAGAAGTAGAAGAGAGAAGAAAAAAAATAGTAGGGTCAAAGGTCATGTGATTACAACAGGCGGAGTCAAAGTACCAGGAAGTGTTACCTGCGGTGACAGACAAAGCAGGAGATGGAGGAGTACTGGAGTTCTGCCAAAAATGGTGAAACATGGCTTCCACATCGGTGTGAGAGAAGACCGGAGTGGAAGGATCTATAGGGACAGAGGCAGGTAAATCCTCTGAGGCAGCAGCAGCAGTGCGTGGAGTAGGCAGTGGTTTAGACGGAGGCCCAGAACGAGGAGAGTTGTTGCGGGAAAAATGTCCGGGGGAGGGACCAGTGCGAGAGGCACGGGCAGGGTTGCGGAAGCAATCATGCTGGAGATGACCAGGACCAGTCTTGTTGCAAAACCGACAAAGACGAACTGGACAATTGACCAGAAGATGAGTCGACGGAAGAGTGCGGTTGTGACAGTAGTTGCAGACAGGTGGTTTCTGTGGGGAAGGTGGTGAAGGAGAACTTCGAAGCTGGGGAGTAGCAAGAACAGAGTCCACAGGGTGGGGATGGAGAGTACCAAACCTGGTTTCCTCTGACAGGAGTTCAGAAATTGCTTGCTCAAGAGTGGGTAAAGGAGTGCGATGAAGGAGAGAGGCGCGGACTGGCTCAAAACGGGGAGTGAGAGCCATGAGAAAGTGAACCAAGCGTTGTTGGTCACGGTAAGTAGTGAACAAGGCAGCATCCTTAGTACAATCCCATGGAGGTTCAGAGAGAGCGAGTTGATCCCAAACAGAATACATTTGTGAGAGAAAATCATTAATGGTTTGAGTGTTTTCTTGGCGCATACGGTGAAGAAGACTCAGAAGCTGATATTGGTGAGCAAGGCCAGTAGTCTGGTAGCGTTCTCGTAAAAAATCCCAGATGGCTTTGGCTGGAGAGGAAGCAGAGTCTAGTTGGAATCGACCAAACTGAAGGCTGATAGAAGTAATAGAAGTATTACGGAGCCAAGTGATGATCTGATAGTTTTTACTATCCCAATCCTCCAGACGGTCAACATATTTATCAGCGGAGTCGGTGGTGGCAGCGGATTCGGTGGTGGCTGGGATGGGTTTGCACACATCCCCAGTGATGATGCGCCAAAGTTTCTTTCCTTTGAGGAACCCAGACATAGCTTGTGCCCATAAGACATAGTTTGTTCCGTCAAGAACAACAGAAATAGGGTGGTTAGAGGAGTCCAGGCGATCCATGAGAAAAAAAGCAGTATTATCGAAGCCGAATTTGAGAAATCTGAGGTTACCAGTGAATTCAGAGGGCCGAAATCAGTGGGAAATGAGTGAACGGACCAAAAAAAAAAGATGACCAGAAGGCAGTAAATGGGCTGGTCAAAGTTGGTCAACAAAACTGGTCAAAGATGACGTCACCAGCTGGTCAAAGATGACGTCACTGCTGTGTCACAGGGCGGCGCACGGTAGCACAGAGAGGCGCGGCGCACGTTAGCAGAGGAACCAGGGAGCGCACGGAAGCACCAGGGCTGACGTCAGCTGACGTCAGAAACACGCGGCTCACGTTAGCAGGTGAGGCCGCGGCGCACGATAGCACGGGGCAAGTGTGAGGCGCGTAGAGCGCGTCGGAGCAGCGAGGCAGCGCGTGGACTAACTTTCTGGCGGCGCGTGACGGCGCGTGGGACGTCGGATGAGGATGAATGTGGTGGCGTTGGATTCGTCGTGAGGAGACGAAGGTTCTGGTGTGGTCCAATCTGTAATTTAGATAAGGACGAGATATGCAACCAATCTGCTCAAAATAAAAAAAAAATTGATGCAGAAGAGACTAGGCAGTATACCTGTGCTCTGATACCATGAAACAAATAAGATAATGATATTGACAGAGTAAGAAAACTCTTGTATTGATTGTATCTAACAATGCAAGAAGAGACTCCATTTATAGGAGCTGGTGTATACAACATTATGATGAAAGAAACACATAAAATATTAAAAGTAGCCGAAAGCAGCCGAAAGGAAGGCATGCTCTGGCATCCTATACCCTATTAATATATTAGTATGATTGTGTTGATATGTTTAATATATACGTTGTTATAATTAATATAATACAGTAGATATAATATACATTAACAACCATGATACTAAATTTTTATTCGCAAAAAATGAATAACCAAATTATATTATGACCTCTCCAATGGCCTTGTTTGGTTTGTTTTTTAGAAAAAATTTTGGAAAAAATTCTCTACAAACAAATTTTCAAGAGTAATCAAACCAAATAAATTTTTTTTAAAAAAATCTCAAAATTTTGTTTGGTTACCCACTTTCCAAAATCACACACTCTCTCTCATACACATCGAATCAATCGCTTTTTTTAAAACTCTCTCTCCAAAATAATTTTTCAAAATCATTTTTGAAAAAAGACAAATCAAACAAGTTTTCGTACTTTTTATTTCAAAAACTACTCTACAAATGCAGACCAAACACAACTGATGTGAAAAAAGACAAACCAAACAAGTTTTCCTACAAAAATTTGAAACTACATTAGGCTAAGTCCCACATATCATGTGAGGGCTTCTGTTCTGTATACCACAATTTTGTGCATAGCAGTGCTGCCAACAAATTAGACTCTACAACCCACTTTCAGACTTGCTTCCTCATTTCCCTCTCTCTCGTGGGGAGATCTTAGATTGTTGCCGAAGCGTAAAAATTTAGTTTAATGGTTAATGGTGATATTATTGATGTAGTATCATCAGCAGTTTTAGATACCATGTATACATGAAGAAAGTTAAAAAATGATTTCATGGTGATATCAAAAAACGTGGCACCACCGTTATATTTAAGTTTTTTGTTTTTTCTTTTTTCATTATGAAAGAATAAAACTCCTATCATCATCTTGGATTTTGTTCATTGAAAGATAAAATGATTTTGCTGGATAAGTTATTTAGTGGTTCTGAAACATAATTTGATGATGTCTCAGGAGTGTTGAGATTAATGGGTGGGATCCGCAACTTTTTGTTAGGACATAAGACAACAAGGAAGCTTGGCATTTAGTAATTGATAGACAACGCTAAACCATTTAATATTTTTTTTTTGTTTTGCACCTGTATCGTGGGCCACATGAGTAACTTGTGTTTTAACAGAGCAAACGAACAATAAGTTTATTATTTAAAATTTATTTTTCATATCTTTTTTGGAGAAAATGATTATAAGATATTTAAATTAATTTTTTTATTATATATATTTAGAAGTCTAATTAAAATTTTAGAAATTATTTAGGGGTAAAATGAAATTTTAAATAAAGTTTTCGTGCCATGTTAGTAGTTTTTGTTTGATTATATTGACAACAGGATAAAATTGATTAAAATCAAATAATTTAAATATAAAATTAATATTATTAAAAAAATCAAAATTTAATTTAATTTTAAGTAATAGTGCGAAAGACAAATTGAAATTTTTTATTCCATAAAATAAATGAGCATTTTTTATGTGTGTGGTAGTTATCTTGTTCAATTTGTAATCATAGAGTTCTTAGAAAAGAAAATTAAAATTTTAAATTGAATAATTAGTATCTGTATACTTTAAATTCAGTTTCTTAATTTAGTTTTTTCATATAAAATTTTGTTAATTTTTTCTATATGTACATCTTAAGAAAATTGTAAGTGTCTTAAAATTGTTGACTATAACTTTTAACCTAAAAGAAAAGACTAAATTAAACCTAAATTTAAAATATAAAGATCAAATTATTCAGTTTAATAAGTGTATGAGAGGGTTCAAGAATGTTGTTGGAAAATTCGAA